ACCATTTTTGGTACTGAGTGATAGATAAAGCATCTTCAAGCTGACTATCCTATCGACAAGGGAATCTAACGAAATGCGTTACGGAGTTTATTTATTTCCAGGTCTGCTTGATATACTTGCCAATATTTCTGATCTCAACCAGCTCTAGCCTCGGCATCTTGGTCCTAGGCTTTGCCTTTGCGACTGCATGATCATAGCATGATTTTTATACAGGATGTGGCGTAAAGAGTGGATATAATTCAACCTGTTTTAAGTCTCGTGATAATACCCGAAGTGTTTTTCTCATTCTTTTTTCATCATAGTATTGGATACATGTGTCATAAAATATAAATAGCCATTTGCATGCGACATGTTCAATTGCTTTTATATAAATAACCTAGTAAAACAAGACGTGAATAATTTGCTTAATTCATTGAGATTGCAAAATGATACAATACATCGTAATTCCTGCTGCCAATTAAAGGAAAAAGAATGAGAATAAGAAAAACCGTTTATTTTTATCACGAGACTCAAAACAGTGAGCGACGGTGCTCATTTCCTCCAAATTTGAAAAACGTCACAAAAATTGAAAGCCGTGCGACTTTTACTAGACATAATTTTCAATTTAATGAATCGTTATGATGTCCTCTAACTGCAGGTTGAAGGTTATCCACTCCTTACGCCACACCGAGTATATTCTATCCGTTATACCTGTTGGCCGCCACTGTTCCAGTCCTCCAAGAAGCTGTACATTAAAACAGCTGCTCCATAGCGTCTGAGCTGGCAGGATTATAACGGAGATTAGTTTGCAAAGCGACGCCCCAGATTGTAACTTGCTTGTTTCCCTGTTTTCATCTGACCAGGCTTTTTTGCTCAATTATCTAATTACTTGGCACCGCGTGCTTAGTTTTTGTTCGCGTTGCTTCGTCTGTTCAAAATACCCCCATGAAAATGTATACTGCGGTACTTTGCGACGCAAGGAGATTGGAGCTGCTTTGAATGCCAAACTGTTGGGTAATTATTAATAAGTCTCATGCCATGTCAAAAGGCAGCGTATATAAAACCTGATTTTTCTATTCATGTCTTACATTGGACTAGTTCTCGGGTTATGCTCTAATGTCGCGATCAGATATGGGACCAACGCATTGGAACCAGCATGGTCACCAACTTGGTATGATATTTATTTATTTATTTATTTATTTAGCAACATCCAACAGCCATAGCCAATTACAGGATGGATAAACATGAAAATATAAACAAATGCATGTTGTGGATGTATGTAGAGAAAGCTAAAACGCTGCAAAAGAAAACCTCAAAACAGAACTGAGAGGAAAGAAAAAGCGTTCTAGCTTTACCTACCCAGCACTCAACAATCACACCAGCAAGCATTAACGAAAATAAGCATTAATGTCTCCCAAAGTCGCACAAGACGAAAATATATCTAAAACGCTATTAACTGAATTATAATTACGGCACATTATATATATATATATAGGGGAAAACTTAAGTATGTCAGTCCTAGGCCTGGCTAAGTAAAAAGTTAAACTAGTTCGTGACGCTAATCTACGAATTAAGAAGTTAAGTTGTTCTAAGATGACACTGGAGTGAATTCATTTTGCGTCTGCTCTCTAAATTATAGATTTTGTGTCTCGCCATCAACTCACTATGAGGAAAGCCAATAGCGGGATGTATCCCGTCAGCTTTGTATGAGAGGTATTTTAAAAACTTTCTTTGAACGGACTCTAAGCGGTCAGTATATATTTGATGATGAGGATACCATACCAGCCAGGGACGCATACTCAAGCTTAGATCTTACATAAGCATAGTAGTATTTTCAGTGTAAAGGAGTTGTGGAAATCACCGGTATTTCTTACAATAAAACCATACGCCTTTGATGCAGCCACAACAGCATTTTCAATGTGATAGAAGGAAAGTTTTCTGTCAAATGTGACTCCCAAGTCATTAATTGTACTGGGTCTGTCAAGTTTCCTGTCACCAATACTATATTCATACATCATTACCCCTGTTTTTAAAGTAAACGACAAAACGTGACACTTAGCAGCATTCAAAACAAGTCTGTTTTCACGACACCAGCTGTCAACCCTTACAATGTTGCATTGCAAGCGATGACAATCGTCAATGTTAGAGACTCTACAGAAAAGTTTCATATCGTCAGCATATATAAGAAAATCGACATCGATAACTTTAGAAATATCATTTATGAACATAATAAATAACAGAGGTCCCAAATTAGATCCTTGAGGAACACCGGACATTACAGGGTATTCGCTTGACTTATGTCCATTGCACATAACATATTGTTTCCTATGACATAAATAAGATCTGAAAAATAGCAACAATGTATCTGAAAGACCAAATCTAGATAACTTATTGAGTAGAATGTTATGGTCTAAACTATCAAACGCTTCAGAGAAATCAGTATATATTACATCCGTTTGAAGTTGTCTATCGATTGATTCACAAACATATTGAGTAAGATGTAGCAAGTTAGTAACTGTGGACCTGCCCTTCATGAAACCGTGTTGACTGACGGAGATAGACCTGCTTACACGAAAATATAGCACAGTTTGTATCACTATTTCGAATGTTTTAGCGAAATTACTGATAATTGTGATAGCCCGATAGTTTTCTACATAATTGTGATATGTTATATTGGAGCGAGAAAAAAAACGGAGCATTGACACATGGATCGGCACTTGGCCAGCTTTTAGGATATGATACAGGGTGCGTTTGGTAAATAAGGTCTGTCGGGATAACTGGGCCACGATTTTACAACGTCTGATGCTTGAAGTCAATTATTAATAGCCTAAAACATACTATTTAATTTAACGATAATTTGTAATTTTTATGGTATGTCTATACTAATTTGTACTTAACGAAAACCTATATTAGCAGCGGATACTATTTTTATTACTTTAGAAAACAAATATATTATATAACAACAACATGTGGATCCAGTTACCCCAGCTGAAGGGGGTAACTGGACCCGCATATATTCATCAGCGTTCCTTTGACGTTAAAGCTAACTGGGGTATTTGGGCTTAATTCTATACAAACATATAACTTGGAAAAAATTATGTCAGCTTCTATAACAAAAACTCTTACTGTCAGAAGCAATGTAAAGCATAGATGTAAAAATACTCCCAATAAAAAACACTTTAATTTTAAATATACTAAGTGACATATAAATCCGAACACCCAGTTTAAATGGTTTTATTTTAATAAAAGTAGGTGAATGTATTTATCTTACTGTAAATAACAAGTGAAAAAATTTTCAGCCTTATCGGTTGGACATTCCGATTTTTATACTGCCTTTTTTTAATTCACTAACGCTTTAAAAATGAATATTTCAGCCGCAGTAAAGAATCAACGTTGGCGGATTTTGGTACTTGACATCCTCTACGATCGGTTACGATGCCTAGAGTACGGAGACCTGTACGATTTCGTTAACTTAGTGAGTTTGATAGGAGCCGTATAGTGGGACTTCGGGAAGCTGGACTTTCTTTTCGGGCAATTGCAGTTAGAGTGCAAAGAAGTGTAGACACTGTGGTTAGGTGTTGTCAGGCATGGCTTCGATAAGGCCATACGCAAAGAGCAAGGGGCACTGGACGCCGCCGTAGAACAACAGACCGTGAAGATCGCCGCCTAAGATTATTGGCCTTAAGGGACCGTTTCTCCACTACCAGGTCCATTGCAAAAGAATGGTTTGCAGAACACGGAAGACCTATTGGCATGCGAAGTGTTTACCGACGAATGAGAAGTTTTGGCTTGTTTTCATACCGGCCACACTGGGTCCTCCCTTTAACTCGAGAACACCGACGTAATCGCCTTGAGTGGTGCAGACAACGGTCACTCTGGGATCAGGAATGGAACAGTATTGTCTTTAGTGACGAGTCTCGATTTTGTTTAGGCATGCACGATGGTCGTGCCAGGGTTAGAAGGCGACGTGGTGAAAGGAGGAATCCACAGTTTTTTGTTGAAAGATATGTTCATCACACTGTTGGAGTTATGGTTTGGGGTGCTATAGCTTATGGTTCCAGGTCACCTTTAATCTTCATCAGAGTTAACATGAACGCGCAGTGTTATATCCACGAAGTTCTAGAACCCCATCTTTTACCCTATCTTGACACCCTGGCAGATCCAACTTTCCAACAAGGTAATGCCCGACCACATGTTGCAAGAGTCACAATAGACTTCTTTCAACATAATGATGTCACATTGTTACCATGGCCACCAAGATCTCCCGACTTATCCCCAATTGAGCACGTGTGGGATATGATGGGTATTAGATTGCTCAATTTGCAACGTCCTCCTCAGACTCTAGAAGCACTTCGAGAGGAGTGGTTGCCTGGAATGAGATACCACAGGAGGACATTGACCACCTGATCAGAAGCATGCCTAGGCGCGTTGGAGAATGCGTAGCACATCAGGGTGCATCCACACATTATTAAAGGTCAAAGGGCTCATTTACTTATTATCCTTCATTAAGTACTTATGCAAAGTTTTATCAAAATAAAACCATTTAAACTGGGTGTTCGGATTTATATGTTACTTAGTATATTTTATTGTGTTTTACAAAACCAACAAGGAAAAACAATTTTCCAATTAGTGTACTTATCAAGAGATATGATAAAACATTTAAAAAAATCAAAACATGGATAGGTCATAGAGATGAGTATTGAAAATTATCATGTCTTTAAATCGGGCTGAGCTACTTTTAACTGGTTGTAATAACTTGCGAACAAAATCTTGATTAGATATCAAGGATTCTTTACCCATCTCGAGGTCCCAGTGACAAAGTCAGATTCAGACATAGAGGTGTATAATTTACTCCAATATACGGGGTGTTCCTTTTTTGCTTTTTAGATAACGTTATGGAGAAACGTGTTGTGTTTTCAGAAAGTATTACAAATATTATTTTTAATTTTAGTATAGGAAGATGTCAGTTATTCAATTTATATCTTTAATCATTGCGAATTGCAATGGAATGTCATAGTAACTAAATTTTAGAGGTTTATTCAAATGTAACTTTACTGTATACATTTATCTGTAGGTTACACTGTTCTAACAAAAGCATCTACTACAGCCGTAGGTATTGAGACACAAGAACAAGCTGATGACGTCGATGAGGAGGTAGCCAGATCTGCAAGTCCTTTTCTTGGTGGCGCTGCAGGCGGTGCTCTTAAAATAACTCCAAGAATACATTCGTGTACCCATCTTTCATCCTGGTCGCCATTAATAAACGATGCAGTGGCTCCGCAGTATTTTCTTGATGGTAAAAAAGGTATTATTAGTTGCTTTTAGCAAAAATTACGAAAATAAGCCTTGCAACACCAATCGTACCCTTCCCCACCCCCTATAACTTCCAAATCCCGAATTTCAACCCCTACAAAAGATTTTCTTGAAATGATCAGGAACCTCTGGAAGGTAAAAAACGGAGTTTCAGCGATCTTAATTTTTTCGTTTTTGGCCTTAGGCTAAGCCGATTTTGGAAAACTACAAAGCTTTTTCGAACTTACCATAGATAGATAGATATATAGATTGACCGACAGACGACGGATATAAGGGACATGGTTTTTATAACGTAACAACCAAAGCAACATCCAAAAAATACAAAATGTCATTTTCGTAATTTTTCACGATTTCAATACTTACTCACCTCGTAGCAAGTAAAAAGGCGGTTTCCATCTGGAAAAATTGACTGCTTTGGCTTTTCTAAAACCTAATTTTAATTCTCTTTTTTGTTGTCCAAATCCGGAATATATATATCTGCATATAGAACTTGTCATCTTAAGCAAAATTTTACATATTTAAAAAACAGCCAGACTTAGATATAGGTGCTCCTAATAGTTATGTTATGATCCCAAATTTTCATGACTGTATTACGTCAATATTTTAAGAAATTAATCGCAGCAGTTCTATGTGGCACACCCTGTATAGAACCTCTCCGTTGCTATTGAAAGCCTGTCTCCTCCAAGCAACGGGAACGATGACGAACTCGTAAAAGAAAACTTACGTAAGGGTGGAAATGAACGAGCAAACTTTGAACGAGGTATCACACATAAAATTGAAGGAGGTCTATCATGCAAAGTGTCTGCTTGAAGCGCTTGGTTAGGTCAGGTAGCGTGTCTTTTTTATCGGGTTATATTTTCTTCTTCATGTAATCGAGGGTGAGATCTAACTACCTACATTTTTTGTTCAATCAAACAATTTCAGTTGTCTGCAGACAACATAGATTGAATTATGGTCACTAAAACTAAGAAAACGAAGGCTGTATACTTTTTTTTATACTCCAACTACCATGAAGGCCTAAGGCCTAAACACCCATTGGGTACCGTGGGGCTATAGAGGGATACAGGGGAAAGTGGAGACGCCACACGGACTCTGGCAAGGGAACACGTGTGCATGCAACATGCCCACATTCTGGCTCCGCCTACGAGATCCGCCGGGTGGTACCTCCGCGTTCGACAGTCAGAGACCACCTACGGACAATCACAACATCCATAGCCAAGAGAAAAATTTCTCTTGGGACGGGACTCGAACCCGCACAGCGCACGGCGACTGATCAGGAGACCGAAGAATCTACTACTGCGGCCACCGCTGCTGCTTATTACTTACCTTTTAAGATGGGAATATTTTAAAGCTCACCTCAAGTTTCCGTACTGTTCACAATAATACTTCAGTTCAGCATCAATAACACTTTCATCATCCTTTGGGTGGTTCTTCACAGTCTTCTCTTCGATAGCCTTTGGGTTCTCTTTGATGTCTGTTACAGATCCCGAATACACGTTCACACGTCGATGCCTTAGACGTTCTTTGCAAACAGTCAAGTCACATTCTAAGGGAACAAGCAACTGGTTAATGCAACAACTGACATCTTGTGGTATCTAATTCATTAAATTGTGTAACAAACCTTCATACTCATAACATGTTACATTAGCAAAGAGACCATTTGATGGCTCACCAAGGAATATAACCCTATTTGGCGGTGTGTCAAGCGTATCTAAATAACGGAAATCCAAGTCGGTGTAAGGAAATCCTACTAGAACCCATCCCTTACGGAGAGCATCCTCTTCTAGTAGTCTCCTGTTGACCACCTCAGAAAGGAGCTCTGAATGAAAGCAAACCTAAAAGAGAAAAGAAAAAACAGATAAAAGGCTACATTTCACAGAATTTTAGTCAACATCGTTATTAACCTATTCGAATTCCTACTTTAATAATCGATTAAATCAAAGTATCTAGCATTAAGATTGTCATTTATCATAACAAAGCGATGAAAATAAGGGTAGTTTCACACCCGTACGTTCCATGTTGTTCTTAGACTGTAGTCTATTCTAACCACAATGCTAATGCTTCTTGAATCATGCTGTATAGGAGACACAACTGAATAATCATGATTTAATTTGGTAATCAATATATCAAGAATTTCTTGCCTTATTTTTGCACTCTCTTAGTTTGCCTCCAAGTTCTGTCGCTGATATCCAAGCTTGACAAATCAGATATTCGAAATCTATGTAGATCAACCCCAACTTGTCAGCTAGGAGTTTAGCTTGTGTCTTTCTTCCCGATCCTCTTGGTCCTAGTATAATTACTCTTGGCGATATCGCCTTTACAGCTTTCCGTATCTTACATAGTTCCAGGCAATCCTTGACGATCTTCGGAAACATTTGGTCACCTTGCCATGAAATAAAATAGACTAAAATTATTTCCAAGGTAAAAAGCTTGGATCTCAGATCATTAAAAATCAGAACTGGCACATCATGGGGTCATACATTTCCTTCCCTTGGCAAGAAATAGAAGGAATGTTGAGAAACCGCAGGACCATCTGATGAACCACTGATCTCTGATTCCAACGGATTAGATGATCCCATGGGCTTTGTTGTGACTCACTATACAATAAATGGGATCTGTGCGATTCTCCGTCCTGTGAATTTGAAAAATCTCGACAAACCATCAAGCATAGTGTCCTTCAACGGCGAACCCTGGACTTCTTTCACGTGCAACGACCTTAAATAGTAATGTATTACGTTTCCTTTTTTGCAATCTTTGACTTTGTTCATACAATGTCTTTCTTGTCTGTTGTTTCATCTGTATTTTTATCATGTATGTTGCTTGTTTATAACTGTTTCATCCATGTAAGCCATACTCAAAATAAATGAATCGAGCCATCCAGCTTGTGGAAGCTGACGTTATGTTGCCACGAGTCTTCAAAGGAATATACCACTACCTTTTCGCTGGTTTAAGCAGCTGAATGCCCAGTGTTGAGAAATTGATGATGTATAAATGATCGGCAACCTTTTTATGTAAAGTAAGCGGTATGTTAGTTATTGGACATTTTCTGTTTTTCCAATTATACCACATTGACTTTTTGCACAGCTCGGGAACACCGCATTTAAAGCCGCGTTCTAGCAACCAGCCGGAAGGCAAGGTCTTTTGAACCAGCCAATCAAAGCACAGGATCTGAGGTGACCACCAATGCGGAGGTGAAAAGCCACTCGTCAATTGTTACATAAACAACGAGGTAGCGACGCGTCGAGTTGCCCACTTACAATCAACAATTTTAAAATATGGAACATGAAACTACGGAAAAATCAAGAATAGTCCACATGCGACGTGCCTAGAGTGTGCGAAGTGTTTTGCTGCTATCTTCCTTTTCAGTACCAGCATGTAGCATATATTACGTTAAGTCTAACAGCACAAACAAGCTAAACACATAGCTACTACAAATAAATGTTAGCTTTCGTTTTCATTTTGTAGCTTTTCACGGGTTTCTGGTGATTAGGCCACAACTATGCGACGTAAGTAAATAGACTGACTTATGGCTCCGTGTGCATAGCTTAGCTTAGCTAAGGGCAATTGCAGCTGTTACTCGCTCTTGCACACTCATGAATTGGGTGATAGAGGACCGTGGTTTTCGCACACTTTGAAAAAATACTTCTGAGACTGTCGACATTCTGGTTGTATCTAACATATAGGCACTATTTTTATATCAAAGATAAACATGACGATATACACTAAGTGACATATAAATCCGAACACCCAGTTTAAATGGTTTTATTTTAATAAAAGTTGGTGAATGTATTTATCTTACTGTAAATAACAAGTGAAAAAATGTTCAGCCTTTTCCGGTTTTTATACTGCTTTTTTTTAATTCACTAACGCTCTAAAAATGAATATTTCAGCCGCAGTAAATAATCAACGTTGGCGGATTTTGGTTCTTGACATCCTTTACGATCGGTTACGATGCCTAGAGTACGGAGACCTGTACGATTTCGTCAACTTAGTGAGTTTGATAGGGGCCGTATGGTGGGACTTCGGAAAGCTGGACTTTCTTTTTGGGCAATTGCAGTTAGAGTGCAAAGAAGTGTAGACACTGTGGTTAGGTGTTGTCAGGCATGGCTTCGAGAAGGCCGTACGCAAAGAGCAAGGGGCACTGGACGCCGCCGTAGAACAACAGACCGTGAAGATCGCCGCCTAAGATTATTGGCCTTAAGGGACCGTTTCTCCACTACCAGGTCCATTGCAAATGAATGGTTTGCAGAACACGAAAGACCTATTGGCATGCGAAGTGTTTACCGACGAATGAGAAGTTTTGGCTTGTTTTCATACCGGCCACACTGGGTCCTCCCTTTAACTCGAAAACACCGACGTAATCGCCTTGAGTGGTGCAGACAACGGTCACTCTGGGATCAGGAATGGAACAGTATTGTCTTTAGTGACAAGTCTCGATTTTGTTGAGGCATGCACGATGGTCGTGCCAGGGTTAGAAGGCGACGTGGTGAAAGGAGAAATCCACAGGTTTTTGTTGAAAGACATGTTCATCACACTGTTGGAGTTATGGTTTGGGGTGCTATAGCTTATGGTTCCAGGTCACCTTTAATCTTCATCAGAGATAACATGAACGCGCAGCGTTATATCCACGAAGTTCTAGAACCCCATCTGTTACCCTATCTTGACACCCTGGCAGATCCAACTTTCCTACAAGATAATGCCCGACTACATGTTGCAAGAGTCACAATAGACTTCTTTCAACATAATGATGTCACATTGTTACCATGGCCACCAAGATCTCCCGACTTATCCCTAATTGAGCACGTGTGGGATATGATGGGTAGGAGATTGCTCAATTTGGAACGTCCTCCTCAGACTCTAGAAGCACTTCGAGAGGAGTTGGTGGTTGCCTGGAATGAGAGACCACATAAGGACATTGACCATCTGATCAGAAGCATGCCTAGGCGCGTTGGAGAATGCGTAGCACATCAGGGTGCATCCACACATTATTAAAGGTCAAAGCTCTTCAAAGCAGAGCAATCATTTTGACATTTTTATCATTTACTTATTATGCTTCATTAAGTACTTATACAAAATTTTATTAAAATAAAACCATTTAAACTGGGTGTTCGGATTTATATGTCACTTAGTATACAAATCACACACCCTTAGCAATCAAGTTGTCATACTGGCAGAAAATTTTCATGTTGGCGAGACAAAACCAAAAAGCGCATGTCTGTGAGCTTACACAAACTTCCACGCCTAGAGACCGATAGCATATGTATGCGTGAGGAAGATGGATGTATGAAAGGCATTCCTATAGTTTCACTAAAACCGTGAAGACACCTATCATAAGTGTGCCGATGAAGCCTGAGCCTCACGACAATTGAAATATGGTTTCAGTTTTGGAGAGCATACCTAAATAAACTTCTCTGAGTGAAGTTTTGAAAGCATTCCGGATTCCAACGACGTTCCTTCTGTACTCTGGCCAACTTGGTCTCACACTACAGTACAATAGATCATCCAGATTTGGTTGAAAAGGTGAAATCAGGTGAATTGTGTGTGTTGGAATGATTCCAAGCTGCAACAGCTGCTTAGCATCCCCTTCATTCCTGATGCAATCCACCATGATCCAGCCTAAGATATAGCAGTTTTCCTTCCTCACTAAGCGCGCCAGGCATTTGGCTATCATTTCAGATGAGGCATTCGTAATTTCGCTCCCCAAGCAACTTTCCAGGTTCATCCTAGAAATCACTACCTATAACAGTAATATTGGATTATATTTTCTAAATTCCCGGGCTTCCAGAATTGCCACGAGCATTTTGAAATTTACGACTTAGTTAACTAGGAATTGTTATACCAGTATGACGGAGAAATGGGATTGTTATACGACCGAGAAATGCACCAGAATTATACGAACGTACTAGGATACGTCACATGAGCATGTCTATAGTGGAACAGTAAAGGTTCACGTCGACTTTTTATGACTTCAATCGGACCTTAACAATATGGTCTTAGGACGACATAGGGCCACGTGTCATACGGCGACGAAACTTTGGAATTGCCACAGACACGTTTTATTATGTCAATATAGACCAAACCATAATATTCAGCCTGGTGAATCTCACTTCTTAGCTGGCCATGTCTACGGCGCGTCTGATCTTCGCAGACTGAACCACAGATTATTGGTAGTTAGGCAGCGCCGTTTGAAGATAGCGATCCTAGCTAAGCTGTCATAAGCGATAATTTCTACCACCTTTTCGTACTGGTTTTTTGCAATTATTCAGTAATGAAATCAGTAGAATGAGGAAAACGTTTCATTACCCTTTGCTTGTGAGAGTCTGAAGAGCGGCAAAACACTTCGACCGGGATAACACGTAAAAATGCAAAGTCTTCTATTAATATTTAATTTGATGCTATTGTTGTTGTTGTTGTTGAAGATTTATTTAGCATTAATGCTACAATGTCAATTTTGTATAATGATTCGGTTACATATTTTTCTTCAATCCATTTTCTGTAATTCTACATTCTTGTCTATGGAAATTGAAATTAAAATTACGTCACTATGTATTTTGATTATTCATAGTGATTTCTTAATTTCACCTTAAACATTTTTAAATTCGAACTTTGTTTAATGTCATTATTCAATTTATTTTGTAGAATTTATAATTTTGAAAATATGTTCTCATTTGCTGTAAACAAGATGGTTGAACAATATTAAGAACCGGGAAGAATTATAGTGTATACACAATTTTTTTAGAATACATACTAAGATTATGGGAAACTCTATAGAAGCAATTTATCTTTTTCGATATTTTTGAAATAATGTATTCATAATGTAGCTTACTATCCACGTATATATACCAAGATATTTAAATGACTCGACTTAATGTTTCCCTATTGACATACATTTTGTTTTATTAGTGTTTAAGTTTATTGACATTTAACCAATTCATATTTTTTTTAATATCACTGTTTAACAGTTCTAAAGCAGTGTCCAAATGCTTATGTGATATATATAGCACATATATATATATATATATATATATATATATATATATATATATAAGTGCATCGTCCACAAATATTTGAATTTTGCAGTGTTCTAAAATGTCAGAGATATCATTTATATAAATAATAAATAGTACGGCCCTAATTTACTCCCCTGTGGCACCCCTTCTGATATATTTTGAACACTTGACATAATATTTCCAACTTTAGTTTTTTGACTTCTATTTACTAAATAATTTTGTAAGATGTGTAATACTGATCATTTAAAGCCATAGTGACGCAATTTCATTACCAATTTTTCCCTATCTATAGTCTCAAATGCTCTTTTGAAGTCTAAAAATATTGTTACAATATATTCTTTCTCAGCTATACTTCTTCTCCAGTTTTCCACCACCGTTTGGATTGCCGTTTCTGTGGACCATGTTTTTCTAAATCCAGCTTGTTTTTTATCAAAATTTTGGTTTCTTCAATGAATTCCATAATTTGTTCGTATATTATCCCTTCGAACAGCTTCTCGACATCGGGCAAGACATTAATCGGTCGCATATTTGAATACAGCTGAGAATTTTGAATATTTAGAATATTTTTTGAGAGATTCTCACTTGGATTTTTATTAGATTTCAATTTTGAGATAGCTTTCCTTAGATTGTTGATGTTAATTGTCCTAAATTGCTACATTGATGAATTCTGACATACTTGTAATGGACATAAGCTTGGATCACCGTCATCAATCGTCTTCACTATTTGATTTACACTTTCTATAAAATAAGTGTTCATTCTTTTTGATATAAACCTAACACATTTGCAATCGATTTCAATGTTACAGCTACCAACACCCAAGCATTGCCTTTTGAATTGTCGACATCCAATGCTTTCTTTCAGTATCGAACGTTGTCGCTTGTGACTGTACGATAAGCAATAATACTTTTGACATTTAAAATAGCGTTATCGCTATATATTTTTAATACAGTTATGCTGTGCAGTTATGCATCGCTTCAATAAAAGGCGCCCTGGGCATACGGAGGATTATATCCCATTGAAATAAACTGCCAAACTGTAAATCTTTCAAATTATTATAGCCTGAATTATAGGTTATAGCCACTAGATTTGAGGTTTACTTTCTTTAATCTGTCCTACCTGCTTTGAAACGTTGGACATGCATCTTGCAATATCCAGGACGTTCACTTTACGTGATGGAATGAGAATAACTCTAGGCACGTCCCTGCTTCTCGCTGCATTATGAAGAATCTGTTTCGTAAACAGGACATGATCTTCTGGTTTCTGAATGACTAGCTCTCTAGCAATCTCATGGAACAGTTCCAATATTCGGTGCTTTTGCAGATACGAAATATGTTGGGGAGGAAACTTAAGTGGACGTTTGGTAGGATCTGACATTATTGAAATGAATGCTTGTGTCAGTTGGTCTGGCATATCGTGAGACTGGAGGTTGATATCAATAGTGGGTGGCGGCGCTCTCTAACTACTTTCACAACCTAACCTGGTAAAATTAAGGAAATCAGATCAAATAATAAGTGTAGTTTTAAAAGTTGGTACAGCAATAATAGCCATGAGGTGTCCCGATGAACATACTAAAAGTCCCGTAACTGTGGGGAGTGAGCTAGCGGTGGGGGACAGTGGAAGTATTTCCGCTTTATTTGGAATAATTGTAGTCACCGGTCTTGGCGGGTTAAAGTAAGACTACCAGTATCCCTTTATATATACAGGGTGACTTTGAAGTTGAGTCATTAATTTTCAGATAATGATTGTAGAAGGAAGATAAACCAAAATATGTGTGTAAAAATAAAATTAAAATTAAAAAAAAATGTTATCTTGTTTTATAAAGTATCCTCCCGACAAGTATTTCAGTGCGGACCTGTATTTGAACGTGAGGTCTTGGAGCACCGGCATGCCGTCCTCTTTGAGGTCTTAAGTCACCTGATTCACGAGCCCGTTGTACTACATTAACAAAGGCACGAGGGGTTTGGTTGCACTCGATTGGGAAACCGATCCGCATAAACATGTGCCATTTTTTATTTCGTTTGAGCCACGCAACAGACACCACTATTCACTAACGCGTTACCGACTGACACTGACTGTATACAACTAAATAAAATAATTGTAAAAACATCGTTCCAAATTCTTTCGCTTTTTTGTTTCCGATGCGATGAACCGATAAGGCGGATTATATCCGTTGTTGCCAAACACGAGCACATAATATTATTATTGAGACAGGGCGGTACTCAAACTTCCAAAGGGCTATAACTTTGTTACTTTAATTTTACCAGAAAAATGGTAAAGGAAAAAAACATTTCTTTCGATCAGATCTACTCACTGTTAAAATAAATGGCTCAACTTCGAAGTCACCCTGTATATCTCCATCTCCCTCATACATACACATTCAACCTATCACTATGTGAACGTTTGTTAGGTAAGCTTAAAGACATATGTTTCTTAGTTGTGTCTCCATCTCGAAAACTTTGTCGTCAATCTTCAATATAAAATTGTACAAGGTCCGAAAATACGATCAATGGAGAAGGCAGACAGCTCGGGCTTAATTTATTAGAGTACTTCCAGGAAGAGAATGAAAACAGCGGTCCGCTGTTACCCACTTAATGCGTACTGGAGAGAGTAGCAGATGCGCGGAAGATTAGTCTGCGCAGTGTTCAGCGAATAAAATCGGAAAATAAGAAAGTTTTGTCCATAGTAACACCTGGGGAAACCTTCAAAATAAAAAAATGCAAGACCGATGATGCCGTCAAAACAGAAATTAGGAATACTATCTAAGATATGAAAAGAAAAGGACAACATATCATGACCTCTGCGCTCAATCAGGAGCTTAAAAAAGGTACATTCAATTCAATTCAATTCAATGGACTTTATTGTAACACATACATAATTATGTATCCTTACAGATGGCGAAGTCTGGTCAATGGGCATTTATACTTAACCATAAATGTCATGTCAATGCTTATTACTACCTTAAAAATAAAATAAGAAACTGAAAAAGAAAAGGAAAAAGAAGAATAATAGTAAAAGAAGAATTAATAAATATGATGATAATGCGTACGATTAGAACAAAAAACATAATACGTACGATTCAAAGAGAAGACAATAACCTAAGAGCTCAATAAGTAGTACTTATATTTTTTTTCAGAAAAGTTGCTGATGAAACATTGTTCGAAACAGTTGATCAATTTCACCGCATTATACGTAAAAGACCGTTGAAAAATGGCTGTCTATGTTGTGGCATTGTCAGGAGATTAATGTTGCGCGTATTCAAATTGTGAGTTAAATTCCTACGAACAAGCTTTTGCATAAGATAAACCGGAACGGAAGTTTTTAATATTTTAACGACAAATGTAACAAAGTTGTATTTGAAAAGATCAGAAATTTTCAACCAATTCATTGAAGATATTGAGTGAGAAACATGATCGTACCTTCTTAAATTGTTTATGTAACGACTACATGAGTTTTGAATTTTTTGCAGTCTGTATTTTGTGATTTCATCCAGACAGGGATAATAAACTATGTTGCAGTAAGCGATTTTACTGAGTATGAATGACTCGCATAACATTTGCTTAATTTTTCTATTTAAAACAGTTTTACTTGCATATAGAAGCCTGAGTCTAAAATAACTAGACTTACACACATAGCCAACATGCTCCTGAAATCTGAAATCTTCATCCAAGTACAAACCTAAATTTTTTGCAGAATGGGAAGATATTAGGATACTATTATTTAGTGATAAATTTAACTTTGATTTGAGGAAAGTCCGTTTTTTCTTGGAGCAAAAAAGTATAGCTGTCGATTTCGATGCGTTTAGACGTAAATTATGTTTTGTAGCATATGTGCATAAGTATTGCAGATCTTGATTGATAAGGTTGTTAGCTAAATGGTAGTTGTTCGGACAGAAATTATGAAAAACCTGCATATCATCAGCATATGATTGACTAGAACAATGTTGAAGGGTGCTAGAAATGTCAAACAACAATTTATTAAGTGCAAAATGTATATTCCTACAGCAGGTAGACACAATTTAATCATCTCAATGGTAATGCCATCAATACCACTAGAATTGGACTTGATACTGCGAATAGCATCCAATACTGTAGATATATCGACAAGACGGAACTGAAAATGAAAATCTTGGTTCAATTTGTTATGGCTATAAAATTCGATAGTTTCCGAGCAATCATCGTCACTTTTCTGGAATATACTGGTAAAATAGTTATTTATTTCATTGGGAACTGCTGAATCATCTGGAATGTCAGTATTACTAGAATCCTGAATTCTAAATGACTTAAGAGCTTTATAAAGAGCTGCAGAGTTTCTTTGTCGAGATAGATGTTGAAGGTAGCCTGAATTTCTCAGTTCATTGTAATGATTTCGATTCGCATCCGTTCGAGACCGTCTATATTTATGAAAAGCCATATCTCGTCCTTTCATTATCATTTTTAAATTGTTTGTGAGCCATGTGCACGAGGCTTAGACACTCTCACTATTTTTAGTAGAGCATGTATGTCAAAAAGTCCTACAATGTTATCGGAAATAAATTTTACTTTCTCATCGATATTAGCCATATAAATAACTTCAGCCCAATTAACGCTAAATAAGAGGTTAGATCAAAATTGCGATAGTCTCTAAATGTAATTAGTCTAGGTGGTGGTTTATAAGTTCACAGTGAAAGTTCCCACTTTGGAACATGTTTGTGCACAGTTGAAGAAAACCGGATCTAAAAGCGTTGAAGAATGATCAATTATTTGAGTTGGTTCATTCAATAACTGGTGCAGGCTGTAAGATTGAAAGCACTGATTAATCTTATTATCAATAAAGAAATTAACGTTGAGGTCACCAAGTACCAAGATGCATTCATTAGACGGTGCTAAGATGGACAACGTATTATCTAATATACTTACTGCAACATCCAAACTTACCCGAGGCGGTCTATAAATAACACCTACTACAATACATTTACGGCCAATACGAACCTTGAGCCAAAGCATTTCTAGAGAAGTACGATCATATTCCTCAAACGATAGAATTTCTGATGAAAAACGATTTCTGACATAACAGCCAACCCCACCTCCGCGACTACCACGATCACGACGATGGAAGTTATAACCAGAAATATCTACTGAACTTGTTGGAATATCTGAATATAGCCATGTTTCTGTAACAGCCACTACATCGAGATCCATATCATTAACCATGAAAGAAAGGTCCGCCATTGAAGGAAGAATTGATCTGGTATTAGAGTGAACAAATTTAATAATGTCAGCCATAGTTAATTCTACTTCTCAAATTATCAAAATGGCTTTTAAAAACAGCACAACAGCTAGAGTAAGACGCATGATCAGTTAATAGACCTTTTTTACTGGTTTTGTTAACATTAAAACAATTTATGCATTGGAAAACAGATGATTTACAATCTTTAGCTTTATGATTTTGGGAGCATTTTGGACATACAACATTAGATTTGCAGCTTATATCGGTATGACCACAACCACAACACTTAAAACACTTCAACACACGTACATGATCACTTACGGGCGATTTCTTCCATCCGATGAACAGGAAACTTTCCTCTAACAAGATATTCCTAATGTCAGGAGATACTTCTATGACGATATTTGTGCTCTCGTGATGCTTAAGTATGGTAACGAATTTTATGTCAGACTGATGCGTGTCATCAATATTGTTTAAGGCTACAATATTATTGATTATCGATTCGGGCGAATCCGGACCGTCGAGGTTAACGTTTTTGATTAGGAGACGTGGATTAAGTTTTCTAGCTTCCATGATTGAATATTTGGACCTAAACACAGCGTCTTTGAGAATTACGATTAGTATATCATTTTGAATTGGTTTGCCTCAGATAGGAAAATTAAGATCCGCTCATGGTACGGAGACTCGGTCTGTTTACCTATTTCATATGGCGTTGACGACGTAACCGCCAACAACGGTGACTACAACTATATCGATGCTCACGTATGCTGATATATTTATCCACAGCGTCAACTATGGAACACTAACTTGTTCACAGTATAATATAGTAATTTTAAAGTAATCCCTATTTAACATTTTTGCTATATTTTGCGATTTGTCAATGTACTGATTAATGTCGGATTGATGACAGAGGGCCTGTGACACGAAACTTCACAACTGTCGTATGGCAAACTCTTTTTTAGTAAAAAGATCAATTTAAAAAACAAGAGCAAACATTTTTTTTGCGACATTATAAGCTTTTCCATTTTCCATTTTAGTGCATAAACTGCCTTATTTTTATTTTATTTTCGTCTTTCAATTTTGGAAAGAATGCGAGGTATTTGGCGTAATTTGCTTGGAGTACATTGCTTTCTAACCCTCGCCGTCCTCTTCACATGGAAGGTCCCCATGCACTGGGAATTTGCAGAACACTTGAAAGCTCCAATTGTAAACCATAGGTCTGGGGATGGTCTGCATTCCTCTAATTGTTCTAAATGAATCACCAGTTACAAAGAACACTACATAAAATAAGAGAGAAAGAAGGAATCATGAGCAGAGAGAGTGAAATACTATAACAAAGATTCCATGCTATCCATCACGTTTGCCATATTTTTCCAGCCTCTTGATTTATACTAACCCAACTAGTTCAATTTATTCTCGAGGTATTTCGTTCATAGAGCAAACGAGTCGGTTATCTTTCTATCGCGGTCTGGCCCGTTCTAAATATACATTATGTGTAGTAGCTGAAGGCACACCAGGGCCCATACGTTATGAAAATATAATAAATCCTGACACTCCTCTCACGATAAATCAGGATGAGTAAGGGTCGGATTTTTTGGATTTTGTTTGCCGGAAGAATCCGAAAGCCATGAAATTGTTTTCCTAGAGCATGAATCGTAGAAAAGATTTACCGCTCTATTAGTCGAGAATCTGATGCAGCATTGTGACGGCTCTGTGGCTTTATTTTGTTGGTTTATAAACATGTACGTTTGCATGATGCTGATATACTAGGAATATAATGAATTGGTAGTTTGAATTTTGTAAAGTCATAAACAACCAAGCGCGAAGGTCCACGTTAATCAAAAAACCCCCTGTACGAATTCATGAGGGCAGATAGATAATGTTCAACTAATAGTACGAAGAGATGATGTCTGACAATAGTTTAAGGGAATTAGTGAGACTGTGTCGTTATACATTAACGGAGTCAATCAAAAAGAGGCAGTTAAAATGTTTCATTATTCCTTTGATTGACGTGGTGGGTTGAGAAAATGTCAGCCTGCTATATACAATTATATTGATCTTCGGTATAAAATATAGTAATGCCTCAAGATACAACTACAATGTACAGTCTGAATATCAGTGATTTCTATTGAAATATTGAATAAAATCGTAAAGAAGCGGTTGTATTATAAACAATAGCGCTTTTTGATTCCAACATGATGCTTTTGTACAGAGAAAACCCGCCAACTTTCATGTAGTTCGCTATTTCTTATCAATTTACAAATAATAATAATAATAGACGTTATACTACTGTTACACTTAACCATATAGTCTCTAGCAGATGTTCAAAAGAATACACTATCCACAAACAGATTTGGTTAATTACATCGAAAGTAAAATTTAAAAAAAGAGAAAAAGGTATACTTTCCAAACCCAAATGCACCAAAAAATTATTAATCTGAATTAAAGATGGAATAAAAAAGAAATGAATGAATGATTACGTAAATTATATGTTTGGAGGGTTGAGTAATAATGTTTTAACTTTTTGTCGAAAGACAGGTAATGAAAATTCTTTATATACTTTAGGAAGGTCATTATAAATAATAGCAACATTGTAAGAAAAACTGCGTTTAAAAAGTGTAGACGTTCTACAGTGAACATCATTATTAAATGAAATTTTTTCCTTCAAGTAATAAGGTTTAGACGTGAGCAGCAATTTGTAAACAAAAACTGAATAGTGATACTTGACCATGTCATTAATTTTTAACCAGTTTAGAACGGGATATTTCGCTGATATGTGATCAAATTTACGTAAGCCGAAAATGAATCGTACGCAATTGTTTTGAATAACTTGAATAACGTTTTTAGTGAAATTGTCTAAACAAGTATAGTATACGATATTACAATAATTTAGTATAGACATGACCAATGCTTCACATAGTTTTTTACGCAACTTAAAATTTAGTAAATACCTGTTTACTATAAGAGTGTGCAGCCGTAGGAAGGTTTTCAATAAACCTTAGTTTTGTATCAAAAACAACACCAAGAATTTTTGCAGAATCAGAAAATGCAAAATTTGGTTTTTTATCTGAATGTTCAAGAGCTGTGTTACATTATATATTTTTCTTTGTGCGCAAAATAATAACATTTTAGATTTTTGTGGATTAATAAGTAGATTGTGATCTAAAGAGTATTTAATTAATTTATTAACATCGTTTTGTAAAATTTGAGTAGTATTATTGACATTATCTGGGTTAAAATAGTGGAGCAATTGCGTATCGTCTGCAAATGACTGGACATGAGAATTATCAATACTTTTGCTTAAGTCGAACGTATATATGAGGAACAGAAGCGGCCCCAATACAGAGCCCTGAGGTACGCCTGAGGGAATTATTGTCACTAGAGACATTTCTTGATTGAGAAAGACACACTGAGTTCTTTGATGAAGGTAGCTGTCGAAAAATGAAAGGGATACACTGTCAAGACCTATGTAATTTAATTTAGCAAGTAATAAATTTATGATTGATGCTGTTAAAGGCTTTCGAATAGTCTACAGAGATTAAGGCTAGGCCATTTTCTTATCTAAGGCACTTAAAATATTGTCTTGCAGATTACGTAGGGCAGATGTTGTACTATATTTTTTTCTAAAACCGGATTGAGTGTCGGGAAGTATAAAGAATTTTTCTAGGTAAGCGGTCAATTGGAACTTTATAATTTTTTCTAAAATTTTGGATAGTATTGGTAATAAACTGATAGGTCTGAGATCATTATACTCAGTGGGTTTCATTTTTTTAGGAATTGGAATAATTAGAGCTTGTTTCCATGTGTTTGGAAAGTAGCCTTTTTCCAAACAGTCGTTAAAGATGTGGACGATGTGATGGAGAATAACTGGCAGATAAAGCTGGATCATTGACAGTGATATTCCATCAATTCCCTTCGCATCAGATTTTAGGCTACCTATTGCCTGTAATACGTCATTTGAACTAATCTTATTCAATAAAAAAATATATTCATAGCTTAATTTATTTTTGATATAGTTTTCGCAAACTAGTGAATCAACAGGTTTATAGCTATAAACAGACATAAAATAATCATTAATTTTGGTAGGGTCATTAAAACTTGCCGGAAGGGTTGGTTTACTACGAAAATTTATATCAAGTTGTTTGAGAGACTTCCACAATTTTTTTGAATCATTTTCATTTGCCAAATTTTCGATATATATCTTATATAAATAACAGGTGAATTTGTCTCTCAACCAATGGAATTGCGACAAATGATAGGTCGATTTTCTAGCTACTAAATTTAATAGCATGATGTGGCTACTTATCTTTGAACTTTGTTTTGTGTCACATAAAATCACAGAAATAAAATATTTGAATAAGAAAAAATGGATGAAGAAACTAAAGGCATCGTTCATTGGATTTTTGTCGTTGTCTCACATTTCAATATTTAGCTCAAAATGTGTTGATTATGACAACATTTTCTGAACGGCTAGATTTAAGTCACGCATAAGTAACTTTGCTATCGTACCGAACTACATCACAATCGTTGTAATAGTGTGTGAGATATGTGGCGCGCTTAGATAAATCCGGAAAAAATAACTATTTATTTTCAGATATAGAAAGGCCTTGGTCCATACTTACTATCATTTTACTACGTCCGTTGACCGGGATACCCTGTATATGTGCGTCAAGTTTACTGGTCTTTTGCAGTAGTAATAAATAGGAATGTCAATATTTTCATTCATAATATTACAATTTTGACGAGAATTTTTATTACAATCCTTTTTGCGCCATTTGTCCCCATTACCGATAATTCGACGTTAACGGCCGTCAAACGAGGAACTCCAATCTCCCAATGGAAGCGTCTCTATCTGAATCGGACGATTTCACTGCGATGGTATCTCGTTAAAGATAAATCGCGAAAAGGCGATTATATAGAGCGTTAAATTAAAGCTATACTCGACTATTACGGACGGTTTGTCGCCGGGCTGTTTGTTACCCAGGAGTATACGAAAGGATGCTTGAATTAAGGTTTACTGTTGGGTGGGACAAGTGGAATTACGCTCATATAAAGTCAAGTTTACCTGTTCGAGAGGCCCTAAGGAGAGGAGATAGCAAGAACGAGTTATTTTTGAAGAATATCAAATTTTATAGCATTTATTCGCCCAGTGATCTTAAACAACCAAGAAATACGCTTAGTTCCAAAAGAGAAAACAGTTTTCATCAAATAGACTCAAATAGTACACTGTAAGTACCAACATACTTTTGGAGGTACATACAGGGTGACAGGTAAATAGGTGTAAAACATTTTAGAAGGTGATAGTACAGCTCCTTTGCTATCAAAATTAGTATATAATACCATACCCTATATTCAAAGGTTAAAAAGTTATGGAAGATTTCATTTTTTTTTTTAAAAAACAACCCAGATTACAGAGTAAAATAGTTGAGATAAAAAAAAGTTAGTGATTAAACATTCTTTTTTTGGTGATTTCAGGTTATTATTTAAATAAATAATTCTCATAAATTAAAAAACATATGAAAGCACTACTGAAAACGTATTTATTTTCATTTAAACGTTAAATGAAAATTTTTATTTTCAACTTTCACATTAAGAAGTCTTTAATTTTCAAAAAAATCATATTAAAGAAAATGTACAAATAACTGCAAAAACTTCCTCGTTTCATTAGGTTTCTAAAATGGTATAATAACATATCAGTAAGTAAACCATTTAACAAAACAATATTGTACTGAGCAGGTAAACCGAGCCTTTCATGGTTCGACCCGTTTTGTTTTTTGTGCCCTGTGCCGTAATTCGGGTTTAAGTATTCGGAATCTGTCGTCGCTCCTCGGAAGCAAGCTCTGCGTGTGATATGAATTGACACAGCTGACGGATCAAGGAAAGCGAACTTACGCTTAGGTTAGTTAGTAGTGATGCAAAGATTCGTTACTTTTTAGGACTTGTAAGGACTCGTTACTTTCGAACTTTGGACTCGTTAGTTTAGTTACTATTTGGACATTTCGTTTAGAACCTACATTTTATATATTATATCAAATTATTACTTTGGGATTGATCCAATTATTATTTTTTGTCTAATGCCTTGCCTATTAATTTTTTTGATATTTGATACGTAGAAGGTACTTATATTTTAAACTCGTCGTTGTGTGATGTCTGGTTCGTTGGCTGTACGCTGTAAATAGTATTTAACAAGTGGCATAACCAGATGGGGACCGTGGAGGAACCACTCTCCTCACTCTTTACTTTAGTTGAGTAGCGTCCCCTGCCCTAACAGTCTGGTTACTCCCCTGTCCTACTTAACAGTCTGGTTACTCCACTGTAAATGGTGTTCAACAAAATACTTATAATAGTAAAACATACCTGAAACTAAGTTCCTTTTGCACCTAGGCATATTTTCGTTATCAAAGTTTTCAAATGCTTCCTTAAATTGCTAATGTTTCCATTTTTATGCGAATAAATATTTTTACAAAGATCAGACTTTGTACAGGTGTACACAAACATTGCCAACCTAAAGCTCCGCAGTCCGCAACTCGTTTGATAGAAGAGTATCTAAAGTTGCCTAAGCCTAACGATATTCGCATCATTTCATTTCCACCCAGTTTACATCCAAGAACCAAGTCACTTGCTGCTGGGCAGTACTTGCTACATTAGATCCCAGTAACGTTTGTATCTAAAGTAATGTATAGTGTAGTAACTAACAGTAATTAAAAAGTATACATAGAAAAAGACCGTATCGCATTCAAAGTAACGAATTCAAATAAAAAGTAACGAGTCTTTTCAAAAAGTAGGACTTGTTACATTTAGTTACTCATTTGTAACGATTATTTTGTAAGCGTTACTTAATTATTTTACATCACTATTAGTTAGTAGAATATCAACCTTTAACGCGGTAGGACGTACTTTTACTTTTTTGATCAGTTTTAATAATGGCGAGTTAAAGTAACGAAGAATACGCTGATATTCTGTTTTGTTATGGTTTAAGTGATGGAAATTCCGTTGAAGCCAGGCGAGAATACGAAAACCGTTTTCCGCATCGGCGAATACCGAGTCATCGAGTATTTGCTTCTGTGTACTAATGCGTCAAGGAAAGTGGACAGGTTCATGAGAGACGTCATGATGCTGGTAGACCTCGGTTGTTTGACGACGAAGATCGAGAGGCAATACTGGAATGCTACGGCAGAGACCTGACGACGTCTACACGAGTTATAGCAAAGCAGCTTGGTTTAACTCAGTGGAAAGTTTGGTTCGTTTTGCATTCGGCGAGACTTTACCCTTTCGATTACACACCGGTTCAAGTATTAGAAGAAAGAGATCCCGCAAGAAGAATTGATTTTTGTCGATACATGCTTCATCGGGATCAAGAAGAAAACGACTATTTAACTAAAATATTGTGGACCGACGAGTCTAAGTTTGACAGAGAGGGGACAACAAATTATCACAACTTACATTATTGGGCCCCACGAGAGGCAAATCCCCACATGGCAAAGCCAAGAGCCCATCAAAGAAGATTTTCGGCAAACGTGTGGATGGGAATCATTCATACGTATCTAATTGGACCAGTTTTTTTGCCTGACAACCTGAATGGCGAATCCTATGAAAACTTTTTGAGATCAGAATTCTGGGAGTATCTCGAAGACCTGCCTCTGAATATCAGGATGCAGATGATCTACCAACACGATGGCTGTCCCGCGCATTTCCGTCTGGATGTTAGACAGTGGCTGGACGAGAAATATCCTTGTCGCTGGATTGGCCGAGGTGGACCGACACCGTGGCCAGCGAGGAGCCGAGATTTAACACCGTGTGACTATTACTTATGGGGGCACATGAAGTCACTGGTGTACGCTGAGCCCATAGACACTCTTGCACAGTTGAGAGAAAGAATTATTGCTGCTGCTGACACTATCAGAGGACCACTAACTGGCCGCATCACGCGTACCAACATGAGAAAAAGACTACGGGCTTGCATAAGAAACGGCGGGCGCCAGTTCGAACAACAATTGCAATGAATTTTACCTTCATTTCATTATTGTATTTTACTTACCAATTGTAGTAACTTTTAGTCAGTTTTTATTATTCTGTAGTACAATTACAACTGTGTAAATAATCTAATCGTGTAACTTAACCGTAGTTTAAAATAATAACTATCCCATAGCTTACAGTTACATTATTTTCACAAAAACACTTTCTTATCAATCAGAGAGTTGTGAAAATAGGAGACAAGCCATTGGTAAATTTACTCCCTATTGTTGTATTACAATACATTATGTTTAGTTTCACACAGTTTTTGTGCACTTATCATACCAATTTAGATTCATTATGAAACAAGGATATTATTTAAATTGTTTGTACGTTTTTTTGTATACTGATTTTTTTGTAAAACACCTTACTTACTGTAAAACTTTATATGTTTTTCTTAGTTAAACATTTTTGAATGAAAATAAATATGTTGTTTGGTATTGTTTTCGAATCTTTTTTAATTTACAATAGTTAATTATTTATATAATAACCCAAAACCACAAAAAACAAATGTTTAATCGCCAACTTTTTTCTCTCTCGACTTTTTTACTCTGAAATATGGATTGTTTTTAAAAAAATCTTAAATCTTCGATAACTTTTCAACTATCTATACTATCACCTCCTAAAGTATTTTACACCTATTTACCTGTCACCCTGTATAATAATAGCGAAAATAATCGAGAATGGGTTATTACGTTTTTTAATGTTATGACATGCTTATCACGAAAAAACATGTCACTTACTTCCGTTGACCGATCTGTCAGTCTGCATGTCCGCTAATTCTTGACCCCGCGATAGTTGGAAAAAACTGATAGGATTTGAATGATTTTTTTACACAATATTACTACGATGCCAAGGACGAAAGAGCTTTGTTGTTTTTGAAAATCGGTCAAGCGTAGATAAGATCCTAAAAATGAAAAAATAAAAAACGCTTAAACGTTTCAGATCATTTTTGCAAAAATTCTTAGGGGTAAAAAATTTAGTGGTGAGCGGCTGTAGAGGGGTGGGGGGTGCTATATGATTTTTTGATGTTAGTATGTTAATAAACGTCCAACCATGGTTATTATTACAAATTTCACACATTAAACATTTCAACGTTCCCTTAAAACTTGAAAATATGTTTAGGCATCTTTGGTAGTAAATTCGTGCGGTTTATAAAAGCAACTAGCACGCGGTAATGCAATATGCACATACCAGGTGGGGGCGTTATCATCATATAGATCCGTCTTGTAGTGTAATTTAATGAGGCTACCTGATTTTCTAAGATAATACTATATAATTGCAGGACGCCTTTATAGCATCGTTGATTTTCATAGTATTATCTCTTCTTCAGAAAGGCTGGGGTATTTCTAGATTTCTACTATTCCGTGTCAGCGTCAGCGCTCTCCTATTGTGAGGCTATGTTTTTTTTAATTGTAGGAAACTTCAGGCTAATACCAGGGATGTCTTTTAAGTTTTGCATATGGAAATAAAACAACACGGTAGGTAGTTTTAAATGACTATTCTTTTTCGAAGTATGCATGCGGCCGAAGCAATTTTTGAAGCACTTATTCCAATCGTTTGCTGGCAGATCCAAAACGACATTTCTGAATGTATCAACTGCTTCTTCTGGTGACTGGAACCTTTGACCACGCAGTCTGTTTTTAATTCTTCTGTTAAATACTGCCTTGTTTTTTGGGCTGTGCGCGAGCTTGCATTGTCTTGGTGGAGGACAATTCTTCTCTCGGGGTTGATTTTTAGAAGCTCGGTGATGACTTTTGGCAAACAAATGGTGGTATATCAATCCGCAGTAACAGTTCTTTGCTCATTAAGAGGAATTGTTGCAATATGACCCGCTTTTGACACAAATGTCGCGACCATCTTTTTCGAAACACTTCGAGAATGGATGGCTTTTCTTCACCTTGGAACACCCAAACAGCCGACTGTCGTTTATTTTCTGGTTCATAACAGTAAATCCACGATTCATCACCACTAACAATGCTGTACATATTTTTCAGTTTCCGGAATTGAAACGGACAAGCGTTTTTTGACACCAATTAACCCTGGCTGCTTTCTGCTCTTCAGTCAACAGGTGAGGTATCCAACGAGAAACTAATTTTCTTACTCTTAATTCTTCATGTAAAATTTTTTGAATTGAGGTCTTTGAGATCTTCAAGCACGCCTCAATCTCGCGATATGTCACATGTCTATCTTCAATGATGAGTTTGCGCACAGCATCGACGTTTTCTTGGGTGACTGCCGTTTTTGGTGCACCCACCCTGGGATCTTCGCTAAGACTCACCCGTCCACGTTTGAATTCTCCATACCAACGGAACATTGTCGACTGATGTGGCGCTTCGTTGCCGAAAACAGACAGTAACTCAGCAAGCCGTTCTTGTTGCGATAATTGTCTGAAAGTTGTAATAAATTATAGCGCGAAAATCTTCTCGGTTGAGTTCCATTTTTCTAATGAATTGGTGACACTTAAGAATTCACTGTAGTGAGAACACTGCACGTATTGTTGTGAAACTTTGAATTTAAGTTTACTAAAGAGTGAGGTTAAAATTCAGTACTGACGTTCGATCCGCGCGGCCTACTATGTTTCTATATGCAAAACTTAAAAGACATCCCTCATATAACAGATATTTGTAACATAACCTCAAAATAGGGCGTAGTAGTAGAAAACTATCAAAATCAGGGAGGCCATAACGGCATACTACAATTTATTGTAGGAATGATTGACGGTACGGTTCATTTCACATGCATTAAAATTTGACTGTCAATCAATGAAATACAATTTGATGCAAACCTGTCAAAGGTATCTGAATGTCGAATGAAATCAAACAAGGTAGATCTGAAATGTTTAAAAATATGAATAAACTGTTGTGCACACATTTTGCAGCCGACTGGCAAAAAAAATCCTAAAAGGAGAATGTTATTTACTACTAAGGGATTGAAACAAATTTCGGAAAGAAGATAATAGCGATGGTAGAGAAAATGAAGAGGAAGACAATTTGGGATATATTACATTCAGGAAGGTGATATTGTTTATTTTTTGTAGAATTAAGAAATGATAAAGAAAAATTAAACTTTTATCGTAATTTTTTCTCTCAAGGTATTGTCGCCGGAATGTAAACGTTGCAAGCGCATCCAAATTGTGAAGCAAAACCTCAATCCGAAATGATTTTCAAAAACAGTTGAGGCTAAGAAAACTTCCTTGTTTTTCAAAAAACTATTGAAGTCAAATTTGTTCGCAAACAAAGTCTTAAATATTATGTTACTGCCTACCAACTTCCCTAATTTGCTTTTTTCGTGACCAGTAGCAGACTTTCGCGTTTTCTGAAAAAAATTTGCGGTTTTTGGAATTAGGTTACACAAATATGGATTTTTCGATACCCGTATTGGACAATATGCACATTAACAGTATGCTTTTTCAACAAGATATCCACTGAC